CCCACAAGAGCATCATTAGGATGCATCCAAAAGGCCAACATGCTTCAAAACCCTAGGGAAAATCAATGTTTGTGGTGTTCTCACTTTTTCGCTTGCGATGCACATCCGAGGCGTCAAGATGGCTCCAAGATGGCTCCATATAGCTCCAAGAAGGGCCCAAGAAAGCCCCATGACGGCGCCAAGAGCGCCGAAGAGCGCTCCAAGAGCGGTCCCAGAGCGGTACAGGAGGCGATGTTTGGAGTTCCTGGGGGGGGGCTCTAATTAAGGACCCCCCCTTCTTTGATCGATTTCCTCCACGATGGCCGAAAGAGGCCCCCAGGATGCCCCAAGAGGCCGCAGGATGGCCCCAAGATGGCCCCAAAAGGCCCCCCAAGAGGCCCCCAGGAGGCCCCCAAGAGACCCCCAAGAGGCCCCAAGAGACCCCCCAGAGGCGCCCAAGGTGCTCCCAGAGGCCCCAAGATGGCCCCAAGAGGCTTCCGAACGGCCCACAGAGGCCCCCCCGAGGCACCCAAGACGCCGAAAAGCCCCTCAGGACGACCCTCTACTCGCCTGGGCGACGTTTCTGGACGGGCTGGTGGGGATACTTTTTTATACCATTATCATTATCATTATCATTATCATTAGCATTCTCATTGTCATTATCATCATTATCACTACTATTATTATTATTAATATTATTATTATTAGTATTATTATTATTATCATTATCCTTATTATTATGATTATTATTATTATTATTTACAGCCGCAGGCGAAAGCGCCGACGGCGGGCGGTCACGGTCGGGCTGCGGCCGCGACTAAATTCCCCGGCACGCGCGGGGGCCGCGGATCAGGCGGCGGGGGGGGGCAGCGACCCAGGGCGTCTGAGAAGCCAGGCGAGCGTGCCATCCAAGGAGTCTGCAAGGAACGCCCAGGAAACGTGCAAGTGGCAAACCCAGGGAGTCTGTCTACCACCGAGAATTAAAACGCCGCCAAATTGGCGCGTGGACGCTCCCGTCGTGATCGTAGCAAAACGACAGTTGGTAGGGAACGAAATCCAAGCAGGAAAGTCAATCCAGGGAGTCTGACGGGTATGAGCAGACAAAGCTGGAGACGCGGTCCTGCAGGAAGGTACTCTGACAGCGCCAGCGAACCGTCGCAGCATCAGAGGCACATCCGAGGAAGGAGCTGTAGCCCCGCGGGCAGGTAAAGATCTTCCACTGGGGATGCGCCTGAGCCCAGTGGCCCAACGGTCAGGACTGGACCCAGCAGGGGAGGCGGCCACGGCTGGTGGGGATACGCGAAGCGTCTAGAACTTCTTCTTTTTTACCTCACCCATGCTGCCCCGCCTGTCCAGCATGAGTTTGTTACTGGTTGCCAACGTGTGGTTGATGTTTGGGCCCTCGGCTACGAGACCTCTATCCATGGATGGGCGAAGCACTGCTACCTATGGGCCCAAGTCCACCGTCTAGCGGCTGATATAGGCTACCAGCAAATCCGAATCACCAAGGTACGCAGGGGGGATCGTCGCGATACGCACTATGCTGGGAATCGACAGGCAGACCGATTGGCCAAGCTAGGTGCATATTTACATTCCCATGACACTGTGCAGCAGGATCGTATGAAACGGTCTGATTCTCTTGTCAGACATCTAGGATGTTACATCGGGCACTACATTTCATGGATTCGCAAGAATGTTCCCAAACAGGTTTGGGCTGCCGGTTCTGATGGGCCCCAGGCGCCAACTTGGCCCTCCCTCCTTTTGTCGGGATCTGTTGCTGGAGCCATGCATGAGCATGTCTGGGGCCCCTTCCATGAGGCGTTTTAGATGTGTGAAGTATGGGGCTAGCTCGGTTTCTAAGAGCGACCTCTTGCGTTCCCAGTGTCCCTCACCTGCGGGAGGCGCTGTGGACGTTACTCTAGAAGCAGTGTCGAGGACTTAGTTGTGACTTGTACTGGGCCCCCCCCGGGCCGAGGGCACATTATCCCGCCTAAGGCTCATGTGTGTAATGGACGTGATCCACGCACTGCGTGCCCGATCGGGGATGTCTGTGCAGTTGATCGTGCCAGTGTCATTTATGCTTTCCCCAACCCCCACGATGCTTTGAGTTGCCAAGCCTTTTTCGACCCCAAATGGCAGCTAGAGTCGCTGTTGAAACCCCTTATTACATCGGGGGTTGGCAAGGAGTGGGTGGGATATCTTGTGTGCTTGTCTGACCGTGATGCGGGAGTCTCTTGGATACCGACACCCGCGAAATGCATATTTTGTAAGACTAGCATTGTTTATGCTGTGTTGTAACTTCCTCAGCCCAGGCTCGCAAAGAAACGAAGAGGCAACCTGCTTCTCACTTTGCTGAGGGCTGGGGGCCACCTCTTTCAGTCAATCTCTCCAGCCCATAGAGGCTGCCTGACTGCAATGATTTCACAAGCATTGAGGCGCAATGGAAGCAGCTTGCGCTTGTGAAATCCTTGCCTTTGCTCATTTGTGCCATGCGCTGCCGAGGTTCGCCAAGAGAGAAGAGGCTAGGCCAGCTTCTCTCTCTTTGTTCTGCGGGCGTGGCTGATATGTTGCCGCTCTCTCTCTCTCTCTTTTTCTCCCTCTCTCTCTCTCTATATGGGGCGACATCTTTAACTGATTCCCGTCCTTGAGGCTGTCTGACTGCGAGGCTTCCCAAGCATTGAGGCGCAATGAAAGCAAGCACCCGTACCGCTTGCGCTTGGGAAACCTCATGCAGCTCTGATGTGCCTGTCTCCCCCGCCCAGGCTCGCAAAGAGAGAAAGAGCTCTGCTGCCGCCTTGGATGAGGGTTTGAACGTAGGCATGTGGATGCCTGAGGGGAGGTGAGGCAAGGACCTCCGATGAGTCCGGACTAGAGCAATCACATCCCCTCAGGCTTTCCCAGCATCAATGTGTGGTTTTGGGCCCTCGCTGTTTCGTGGCCCTTTTGCTTTCGGTCGTGTCCCTCCGCTTGTTGTCTGTGGTTTCCTGGGTCCGTCCTTCGTTTTCTTTCGGCCCCTCGGGCCCTTCCGTCGCGCGTCGGCGACGTGCAGGAGTTATTATGATGATAGCCCGAGGATATATATATATATATATACATATATATATGTGTATATGTGTAAAAAATTATCCTCCTCCTCGCTGCTCTTCGTCCCCGTCCTCCTCGTCCTCCTCTGGGATCTGACTTATCCTCGACCTCGTCCTCCTCGCCCTCCTCCTTCTCCTCCCTCCTCCCTCCTGGGGTTATGATCTTCCAACCTACTTTCGATGATCCTCAGAACGTCTTTGTCCACTGACGCCGCCTTCACTGAGGCCCTTCACTACGACGAAAGCGATGTGATGATCGACCGTTTGGGTAGAACGGGACAAACACACATTGGGCTAACGCGCGTGATCATCGATGCTTTATTCTGGGTCTCTCAATACGCGTGGGAGTGTTCTCCCCTGACGGGGGTCAGCCTCGCCTCGTCGTCGCGCCGCGACGGGGGTCGGAGCGCCTTTGGCGCGCGGTGGCTGCCCGCGACGGGGGTCGATGTGGCTGTCGGCGGGGGTGACGCCCCATCGACGCATATTAAGAAACTCGGAGTAGCCTTGATCGCCAGAAAGAATTTCGGAAGCTTCGAGCACCAGGAAGGTATCGAACCTGGAGGGTTTTCGCGCGCCGGGCCCTGGGCGGCGATACTCGTTCGACACTGTTTGGATACTTTTCTGGGTGCTCGAACTTGTTTTTGGGACGTGGTCCTTAATAGAGGGCAGAACATCCACCCCGATAGTAACCACCCCAATACACGAAGCCGTTTAGTAAACGCACCCAAAGAAGGGATCAAACAGGGCAAGGTAGTTTAGCTAACGCCCAGGGCTGTTTAGTAAACGCCAATTGTCCGGTCCGGGTGTTTTTTTTCTCGTTTGACTTAAGTACGATGGGAACAACATAACCCTGGGGCCTCCGTTGCCCCCCCTCCTCTCCCAGCGGCGGCGGTGCGTTTGCAGCCTCCCTTCTCGGGCGGCGGCACGAGGCTTCCGCCGGCTCCTGCCAGAGGTCTGCTTGGCAGCGCCCCTGCTTGGGCATCGTGGGGTGCCAGCGGTAAGTTCCACCCATGCATCCGACGTCGTGATTCTTCTGCAGCTGTGGCTCCCCATGGGTCTGAACCCCTTCCACATCACCGTCCTCCCCGTCCTCCTTCTCCTGGTTCTCTTCCTCCCCCTCCCCCCTCCTCCTGCTTCTCCTCACTCCTCATCCCTCCTCCCCGCTCATCTTCGCTCCTCCTCCTCCTCCTCCTCCACTTCTTTTCGTCCTCGTCCTCCTCGTCCTCCTCTGGAATCTTGCTCATCCTCGTCCTCGTCCTCCTCGCCCTCCTCCTCCTCTTCCTCCTCCTCCACTTCTCTTCGTCCTCGTCCTCCTCGTCCTCCTCGTCCTCCTCAGGGATCTGATTCACCCTCGTCCTCGTCCTCCTCGTCCTCCTCCTTCTCCTCCCTCCTCCTCTTCGTCCTCGTCCTCGTCGTCCTTGTTCCTCGACCTCCTTTCTCCCAAGTCTTGCGCCTCCTCCTTCCTCTTTTCTCTTTCCTCCTTCCTCCTCCTCCTCCTCCTCCTCCTCCTCCCTCTCTCCTCTTCCTCCTCCTCCTCCTTCTTCTCCTCCTCCTCCTCCTTCTCCTCGTCCTCCTCCTCGTCCTCATCCTCGTCCTCCTCCTCCTCCTCCTTCCTCCTCCTCCTCCTCCTCCTCTTCCTCCTCGTCCTCCTCCTCTTTTTCCTCCTCCTCCTCGTCCTCCTCCTTCTCCTCCCTCCTCCTCCTCGTCCTCGTCCGCGTCGTCCTCTCCTCGTCGTCCTCGTCGTCCTCGTCGTCCTCGTCCTCGTCCTCGTCGTCCTCCTCCTTTTCCTCGTCGTCCTCCCTCCTCCTCCTCCTCCTCCTCCTCCTCCTCCCTCCTCCTCTTCCTCCTCCTCCTCCTCCTCCTCCTCCTCCTCCTCCTCCTCCTCCTCCTCCCCCCTCGCTCGGCGCTGGCCCGCGACGGGCCCGGGCCGCGGCCCGCCTTCGCGGCGGCGAGCTCCGCGCGGACGGATTCCAGCTGCGGCCGGGGAGGGCCGGGGGGGAACGGCCCAGCCGCGGCGCCGTCTCTCTGGCCGTCCATCGCGGGGGGAGGGATGAGGATGAGGATAAGGATGAGGATGAAGATGAAGATGATGATGCTGAGGAGGCGGAGGAGGAGGAGGTGGAGGTGGAGGAGGAGGGGGAGGAGGAGGAGGAAGAAAAGGAGGGGGAGGAGGAAAAGGGGCGGGGGGGGGATGGCGAACCTTGTTTTTGATATCGACGGTCAGTGACGTCGTCAAGGGGGGGCAAGTTCCTCCACGCACGCCTCCATGCCAAACGTGAAGGGGACAAAGAAACTCACCGCGAGCGAACGGACGAGGACGAGGAGGGGGAGGAGCAGGAGGAGGAGGGGGGGAGGTGGAGGACGAGGGGAAGGAGGACGAGGACAAATACCAGAGCAGAGCCACAACACATCGGCGATGATGCGCTCTAATCCTACGTAAGTCTCCGCAACATACGCCCCTGCAAACAATCCTGCCAATTTCGCGGCCCACCCGTGAAAATCGAAAGCGATTGGGAAGGGACCGCTTTGTTCGAGGCTTCAAAGAATGGAAATGAAGACCGATAGGACGATAGCCCCGTGTGCAGGCGGACAAACAGACATATACCCGGTCAGTCTACATGGGTTGGTCTGTCTGTAAACGGGCGAGGCCAAAGCGCTGTGGCCTGAACGATCACGTGCGCAACGGACACCAAACGTTGTGCTTCCGACGGGGAGAACGGAGAGGAAGAGAACAGGGGGCGGTCCTCACGCGCAACTTCAATGCTCGACGAGTGCGTCTTCACCGCTCTGGTGCGTAATGTCATGCCAGCGATATGCGATGTATCATGGGCGGATCCTTGAGTTCGGTCCTCCTATCTTGTATGCGTGCGTCCGCGCGCCTTCGTAGCCCCACGCGTGTAGCGCGGGCTCCACACCCGGACGTTCTGGGCCCATCGTTTGTCCGAACGTGCTGATCAGCGCGCGACTATGAACAAGCGGCGATCAAATAGTTCATTTTGAAGTTGCAATCGAAGAATCAGCATGCAATGCGTGGGCAATTTTTCTCCGCATTCGTCTCGTGGAGTCTGCCCAGCCCTCGCCACCGCAACGCCTCCTACCAACAGTAAAACTAGACGTCTTGTTTTGAAGGACGTCCAGGCATTGCGCTTCATGCTCGGTCGAAGCCGCGGCGGGCAATCCGAACATTGTCGGTGCACCGACATATTGGGACAGTTTCGGCCACAATATTGAACAAAAAACGCTCTGGTCTGTGAGAACATGACGGCTTTCATGACATGTGCCAAGATCGCTGGGGTCTTCGCGTCGCGAGTCTTCAAAATCGCCGGGGTGTTTTTTTTCCCTAACAATATACTTGCAAACGTCACTATCTGCCATGCTTTTGAACGTGCGCCCGCCAATCCCAACGAACGATTTCTCAATCACCTCCTCCGTGGTGACTCTTTGTCTTCAAAGCAGTCCATCATAGCAGCCAGCTCGGCGGCAGACCTCGCGTATAATATGATGTCGTCACCATCCCGTAGAATCGTGCGTGTATGGCCTGGGCCAGCGCATAACCCAGCATGGCAGAGTCGGCCTTTAAATCTCTCCACTGCCCACCCCAATCCAGCGTTGAACAACATCGGGCTGATGACGTCGCCTTGCTTCACCCCCCACAGGATGCGAAAAACTTCCGCGCTTGATGCCTTTGGGAGGAGGGCATCGAAGAGAGGGCCGTGCTCGACTAGATTAAAGTTTTTGCGTATGTCCAAACGCACCACAGCGGCACCTGCCACTCTACACACTTATTGCATGCCACATCAAATACCAGGAACACGTCATCGACCGAGTGGTTCGACCTGAAACCAACCGGGTCTGGCCTTTGGGCCTGCTCGTGGACGCTGCGCAAAATCCCCCGACCCGGCGTGTGAACTACAAGGAGCCTCAGCAAGAGCTTCAGCTCTGAGCCTGAGCCAGAGCGTCAGCTCTGCTTGGGGGGGTCGCCGGGGTGGCTCTGCCGGGGAAGGGGGGGGTCGGTCCCCCGCTTGGCGTTTTCTTAATGATTTGCGCATCCCCAAAATGTTTCGGGGGGTCCCACGGACCCCCTCTCAGATCTAGCCGCTACCGCCCGCAGACCTCTCCTCTCGGAACCCTCCCCGGGCTCCCCTGGACCGTTCCAGGCCCCCCTCCAGCGGGAACGAGGACGAGCGAGGACGGAGAGGGGAGCGAGCACGAGACGCAAAATGGTCAGCGGGAGGCGCAGGATAACGAGAAGTAGGGAGAAGCAAAAACATTCGGGATAACATCTTGTACCTATACGACCACCCTGCGGGTGATAAGGAGGTTTGGGGGGGGGCCAGCAATGGGCAACAGTGGTGAATGTTGTTGTGGCAGTGCCAGTGGAGATCGTTGCGTTGCCGCTTGCTCTTGGGGGCGTTGGTGTCGAGTTGTTTACGTCACCCTTCCCCTGGGAACCTGCCCAACCTGCGCAACGGCAGCTAACGGCGCCATTTGGCCACAGAAGACTGAAGCGCTGGCAAAGCTTGGCGCAGCCCGCGCCGCCTTTTGCACTATCGATCTCAATATCGATATTTCTATCGGTCTCACTCAATCGAACTCACTCGATCAATCTCACATTCGGTCTCACTATCGATCCCACATTCGGTCGCACAGTCGACCTCATATTCGGTCTCACGATCGATATCACAATCGATGTCACAATCGACGTCATCATCATCATCATCATCATCATCGTGATCATCATCCGCATCATCATAATCATCAGCGACACCAACATCATCATCATCATCACCATCATCAACAGCATCATCACCATCATCATCATAATCATCATCATTACCATCATCATCGCCATCATCATCATAATCATCCACGTCATCATCGGGACACCGACGGGACACCGAAGGGACACCAGCGGGACACCGCGCGGCACCGGCCGCCCGGTCAAGGTTCTTTTGCCCCGGCCGCGCCTCAGCCACACGGGACACCAGCGGGACACCGGCGGGACACCGCGGGGCACCGGCCGCCCGGTCAAGGTTTTTTTGCTCCGGCCGCGCCTCAGCCACAGGAGACAATCTCTCGCCCGCCCACGCTGCTTCGCCTCGCCCGCACGGCACGCACGAACACGAAACCGAAATCGATTTCCCAGTAGGGGGGCTCTCCGTTCCACTTCGATCTCACCCCCCAACCTCCGATGGCAATCGGTCACCAGTTTGCAGCTGTGCCAAGTCCCCAGAACAAAGGCACATTGCAAACAACGAGTCTTTCTAAAAATACTCCACTTCCGCATTCAACGATATCTGGATGTAGAAGACAACAAATACCCAATTGATACACGCGCCAGAAGCGCGTTGTTGAACATCTTTGCGGCGATGCCATGAATGTCGGCGCCCTTCCTGTTCAAAAACTGGAATGTTTTTTTGTCAGCTCCATCTGGGTAAGCGCGGCGATGTTCGTGAACACGCGTCGGTCCGTCATCTCTGGTCCCCGGCGGCGGCATAGCGGTGAACAAGACAATGTCCTCCACGAAACAAGGTAACATTCAGGAGGACACTGCGCATGAACTACGTTCCATCTTCCTCTGGGCTCTCGCAGAACTCGCCTAGGATCTGTTCGATGTCCCTCGCATTTCTCCTTCGCAATTCGGCACGCAATCCTGCGAATACGTTTGGGCATGTCCCGTCTGGCTGCGGACCCGTACGGCGGAGAACGACGCAGACGCAAGACCTCCTGGAAAACATACGGCTTCCAGCAAAAAAGTTGTTCTTCCTGCTGTTGGGCGTGCCCTGGTGCAACGACGGCCAAACACGCGTCCAAGTCGGACGAATTACCGGGCGGACTATCGTGCACATGTGCGTCCAAATCGTGACCGGAATCGACATCACCACGTGGCTGCAAACCCCGATAATTATGTTTCTGCTGGCGCTTCTTGGTACGGGTTCTCATGGTCAAATATGAAAATACAGCCCGGCGATCCGATCCCAAGCTCAAAAATCAACCAATGTACTGCATTGGTACTGCCCACCGCGTGTAGGGAGCCAGTCACTAAAATGAAATCAATGCACCTTGTGTGTCCAAGGCTCGGTCGAAATGTCCACGCGTCTGCGTGTCTCAGGCTGGGTGAAAAGCTTGCGATTTGACTATGTGAAAACCATGGCACGCTACGGATTCATTCAGTATTTGCCACCGTGGGCCGATTTTGTACTGAGCATTCCAGTCGCCGCCAGTAACTACATGACTTGTGTGTCTCTGGGCCGAATGAAATATGTTATCAAGCGTGCGTCGAATTCGGTGAACTCATCCAAAGAGCCAAAGAGTAACGAGCATGAAGAACGCAATCCGATCATGCGGCCAGCCTCCACACACACACTCACCCTGCGAATACTCTGAACGTGGCGCTCGTGCACCAAAACGCCAACACCCGCAGCGGCATAACCATCCAAATGAAACAACAATGTATGCCGACTTTCCATTGTAAGTTCTGTTGAAGGTGCCCTTCTCGTTGAAAACAATGAAATCCCACTTTACATCTGTCAATTCAGCCATTCATTCCACTATTTACGCATTCGTTCGTAATATTGCGTTCTTGCTGTGCACATGCAACTCCCCTACCAAGGTAAGGGGTGAAACGTGGTTCGACCGGTGCGGTTCCCAATTGGCCACAGACTTTGAAGCCCTGTATCCATATATAGAACAGAGGCCACCCTAAGTCCCTTTAATGGCTGGAGGCGTGCACGTAAGAAGAATGCGCGCGGCACTACGACGAAAATGCATGCTGTCAACGGGCCGCCCTCCATCCGTGACTGTTGGTAACTTCGCCGACAGAGGCGCGCGGCGCTGAGGCGAGAGCAATACAGTGGAGGCCAGTCCACAAGAAACCTTCCACAACAAACTCAATCCTGAGACCCCAGGACGTCCATTGATTTTCGGTGTGGGAGCGTCACGCTCTCAACATCAAAACCACCGACACCCAAGAAACCCAGGGCACCCTGGAGGCAAGCCGGGTTCTTCTTGGCATGGGCCTCCACTGTATCTTGCGAACCACCCGACCTCCATCCTTTGTGGCTGCTGGAAGATTTTGACACGAAGGTGTGGCGCTGACGCGGGAGTTACATTTAGGTCGGGCATGTCCCCCCCCACAGGCGGATTTTTTGACGAACAGCTAGACATAGTAACATCATTATCCAAACTAGTCAAACACAATCAAAATATCGTCCCCCTACGATTTGTTTTTGACTATTTTGGAATATTCCTCCTCCTCCTCCTCCTCCTCTTCTGCCTCCTCCTCCTCCTCCTCCTCCTCGCTCCTCCTCCTCGCTCCTCGCTCCTCGCCCCTCGCCCCTCGCTCCCCGACTGAAAGCTACATGCGGAGAAAACCAGCCGCCCTCCGTCCGTGCAGCCGCCGGACCCCCCCCCCCGGCAGCCGCAGGGACGCGCGCGGGGAAGGACGTCTCGCGCGCGACACGCCCTGCCCGCCCTGCGGGCGTGCGACGAAGACGGCCTCGGGGGGGGCCGATGTCGGCCAAGTTCGGCCTCCAGGGGGCCCCCGCCGGACCTCGGGGCCGTCAGAAAACGACTCGGGATGGAAAGCCGGTCCCGGGGAATGCGCCCAGTCGTCTGGGGGTCGCGTCATGAAAAAATCATGACGTCGGGGGTCTGGGATAGGGGAACGAAGGATGGGGCCTGGGACACACAAAACAAATAGAAAAAAATAACAGGACTCCCCATATTGTACAATATTTTCGGGCTCTTTGTCTTCCCCCCACTTCCCGTGTTTTCCCATATTTTCGGGGGGGGATCGACGCTTAAGTGTGTCTGTGTTTTTTCCCTCCTGAGAAGACCTGTTTCATTCGGCGGCGAGCGAGGGGGCAAGTGAGAAGGAGAAGGTCTCCTCAGAAGGTTCGGAAGTTTCCCCGGCCTTCTGGGAAGTTTTCGAAGCCTTCCCCGAGCGCAGAAAAAACTTCTCAGATGGCGCGAGGGCTTCTGAGAAGTCCCACCGCCTTCTGAGAAGGCCTTCTCCTTCTCAGTTCCCCCCCTCGCTCGCCGCCGACTCATAGAGATGAGGGGCGGAGGGGGCAGACAACTACCCCCCTCCCTGTCTCTCCGATCCATGGTTTCGGCAGCTCCTGCACCTCGCGGAAGCCTCTGATGGGGGTGGGTGGGGGGGGAGGAAGGGACAAGATCGGGAGGGAGGACGGGGAGGGGAGGGTTAAGGAGGAGAGAGGCGGGGAAGAGAAGCATGCAGAGGGGCAGGAAGGACAGGGATGAAGGGGGGAAAAAGGGGAAGGCCTGTAGAGGACGACGAGGATGGGGAGGGGGGAAGAGGAGGCCCGTTCTGCCTGCCCTCTTCCTCTCCCTCCTCCCTCTTCCCGACTACCTCTCCCTCGCCTCTCCCCGCTTCCACTCCTCCCTTGCTCTGTCTCTACTCCTCTCCCTCCTCCCGGTCGCTCGCCCTCTTTTTCTGATACAATCCCTCGCCCTCTTCTTTCAACCCCACATCTCTCTTCCCCCCTTGTCCCTCCCTCATCGCCCCCTTAGAGAATCCTTCAAGTCCCTTCACACTTTCATCGCTCGTTCCCAACCTCCTTCTCCCTCTCTTCCTCTTCGAGTGGACCAGAGGCTCCCGAAAGTCCCCACCCCTTCCCCTCCCTCTTCCCGAAGGGAAACAAAAGCACCGCGGGCCCCCATCCCTGCATCCCTCCCTCCCCCATCCCCTCATTTCACCCTCTCCCTCTCCCGTCCTCGATTCCAACTTCTCCAAACCAGTAATTACTCCTGCACTCACCCTGGATCTCAGCGCAAGAGCTTCTGTCTACCTGGCAAGGTGACGGGCGCGATTCATCCAACCAAGGGCATGGACAGACGCCGATCAATTATGTCCCGCTTTCGGCCCTCCTCGCCTCTGCTGTCCTGCTATCGCGTGCTTTCCCATGCTGCCGCCACCTCATTAAATCCACCCTCGTCAGATCGAAAACTCGAGCTCGGATCGGCGAACAACCGGATCGGAAACAACAGGGTAATCGCGCATCGTATCGGACCGGGATCGGAACCCGGTCTGCCTCATGCGACCGAAGGCTTGCGCCTGTGGCCGCTCGGCTTAGGTCGGGCACGTCCTACTGCAGGCGGATTTTGGGCGAAAATAAAAAAATGGCCAAAAGAAATTCAATAATAGTCAAGAAGTCGTCCCCAGATTATTCTTTGGCTGTTGTTGAATACCCTGAGATCCGACGTCGCCAAAACATTGCAGCATCGAAAAAGATCACGACCAGAGCCCTGGACCCCATCTTCCTGCGTCACCTTTCGAGCCGGATCGATCTGGGAAGGTCCCCGGGCCCGAAATGGAGCGAAAACGCCCGGCTCGAAAAAATGGAGCCGCCAGGATCTCAGGGCATCCCCCCTTGTAGAGGGACGTGCCCGACTTAACGCTCGGCTCGTGATCCTGCCTCCGTCAGCCAGCGGTCCTCCCTAAGGAACCGAACTCTATACACCGACGCTTTTTCGGGCCACGCACTGGAACTCGCACAGGAACGCGGATCCTGGTGTATACGGGATCCTGGTGTATACATTTTTCGTTGTTTCCTCGGGAAACAATATCAAAAATATACACCACACCACCCCGACATCGCCCCCGACCCTCAAAAACTCCTAGGATTTCAAAACAGCCCGCCCCTGGTTTCCGGCTCCCCCCCGCGCAGCTGGCGATCTCCGGGCCTCGCGCCTGGCCTCGTCGAGCTCGGAGGCAGACTGGGCGGCTTCCTGGCGCGGCTCTGGATGCGGGCGGGATGGTCGCCTGAGGGCCCCAAGACGTGTGATGTTCCAGCCTACTAGCCTTGGTCACTAGAAACAACTCCGAGCACCAGGAAAGTGCCGAAACTTGAGGGTTTTCGCGTGGCTGTCCCTGGGAGCTGATACTCGTTTGACACTGCTTCGATACTTTCCTGGGTGCTCGAAATTATTTTGGGAATGTGGCCCTGAATTTGGATGGGAGCAACATAACTCAATATTTGTAATTTAATGCCTCCATCGTACTTGAGGACCACGTCCCAGAAATAATGTCGAGCACCCCGAAAGTATCGAGACAATGTCGAACGAGTATCGCCTCCCAAGGCCCGACACGTGAAAACCCTCCAATCTCGGTATTTTCTTGGTGCTCGAAATTATTTCTGGTGATCAAGGCTAAAATAAGTCGGAACATCATAACCCAATACGCGCATGGGGCACAATCTGCCTCGACAGTCTGCAGAATACGCAATGCTGGCCACCCCGTCACTGTGCGCCAAGGAGGCCTCAATAACAAACAAGACAGCCCCAAGAGGGCCCGCGAAGCCTCCAAGACCCCGTCAAAGAGTTGCAAGGGGACCCATGGGAGGGCCCCAAGAGACCCAAATCGCCTCCAATTTGAAGCAAAACATACATGTTCAGCATATTCACCCGTGTGGTTCCAACAGCGTCCACAGCGGCCCAAGATGCCCCAACGATCGCTCTAGGACGGTCCAAGAGGTCCCGAAGAGGGATCCAAGACGGCCCATGAGATCCCCAAGACGACCCAAGTGGCGCCCAAGACGGCCCAAGAGGGACCCGAGAGGGGAAAATCGAACTGACACTTCGAGCCCTCCGCCCCAAGAGGACCCCCGAGACTGCCAGCAGGCGCCCACCAGACCCCCAAGAGGCTCCAAGAGGTCCCCACGAGGCCCACAAAAAGGCCCAATAGGCCCATATCACGGTTCCGAAGAGGCACAAGGAGCCCATGGATTTCATTTATCCTCTTGGGTTCGGCGGAATGGCGTAAGCCATTTTAATCCGCCAGCGTGCCCCCTGACACGTTGGGCCGTGGTAGAATGCCCAGTGCTGTCTGGCAAGGTTTCTGTAATCTTCTGAGGGGCCCCTACCTCGTGGGAAGCGCCGCGCTGCGGCCCACCTATCGGACGCTAACACACCTGCGAGCAGTGGCAGTGCCATCACCAGCACAACGCCAGCAACCACTCCATTGCAGGCGACCTCCAACCCAGCTCACCAAGCTCCCCCTCCAAGTGGGCTCGGCTCATCTCAGGAACGAAAACAATGAGATTCGAGGCCCCGCCTACCCTGCCGACCGTCAAGGAAGACGTAGCAGAACAGCCAAACGACACGATCGACCACGAAGAGAAGATCGCACAGCAAGAGCACGACGCGGGGGGACAACGCACGCACACTACCGCATCCGGCTACGCGCACTACCGCACGCAGCACTCCCGCTGCATAGGACAACCAACCATCTTCCATCCAAGGAGAGCCACAGAAGTCCACTGGATTGTTCCCCATCACGACGATCACCCACGAGAGGGTAAACCCCGACGCAATCATCCCCCCCATGGGAGCTACCATGCGCTACTCGTACCACACCAAGCTGGAGGACTTCATCGCCCACGGCGCCATCGCGGCTAACGAGGGCGACGAGGTGGCCGTCCTCGATGTGTCCTACAACAACAATAACGACCTCTGGGCACAAGCCCTGATCTCAGACATCATCACTGAGTACCGCTCCCGCCACCACGACATCCAGGAGAAGCTCGAGACCCTCGCCGCGATGGCAGGGGATTCACAGGTCAGTTACAACCGGGCCCTCGACATCCAGAAGGAGACCACCGCGGCCAAGGATTCCGCCTCCAAGTTCCTCGAGTTCCTCGACAAGCTCAGCGGCTGCGGCAACCAACTACGCCCCCAATCACTGGCGATAGCCATCCTCGCCATCACCGACACAAGCCCAACGCGGGCCTGGACGGCCGAACGAGGCGCCCGCGCGCCCGACGCCGCCACGGCACCACCACCTACCGCGCCTCCCACCGACCTCTCCGACCCGCGTTCCGATCGACCCCTCCGACACGCTCTGACTCTTCTCAGACTCCCACGGCTCGACCTACTCCGAGCGAACCAAGCTAATCCCACCTGGGCGCCTCTAGAC